TTTCATGATTGAAAATCAGTTACAACGTCGGGCAGAGTTCCGGCGTAATTCCTAAGTTGAGCAGAATTTCGTTGTCGTTCGAAAGTCTGGTAGAATTCTGGCATCGGGCAGAATTCTGGCATCACTTGGGAAGAATTCTTGCATCACTCAGGCATCCGGCCAAATTCCGACGTCACACGGGCGTCGGGAAGAACTCCGGCGGTGGTTTAGGATGAGTTATTCCCTCGTATCCTTCCATTCTCTTCTTCTCTTCTTCTTGCTTCTAGCTTCTTGCTTGGGTCCCCTCTCCCCCTCACGAGAAATGAGGGGTCTATTTATAGATTTTCTGGAGTGACATAGCTTGTAAATAAGTGTGAGACCAGGGGCAAATAGGGAGTGGTCGAATGGACGGCCGATATTAAATCCATTGATCGTGCACCGTTCATCAGACATTTGAAGGTCTTAATGATGTTGGAATTCAACGATCTTGGACTCATTGGATTGTCTCTTTGAGCCGCTCAATTTGACAATAAGCTTGTCAAATTTGGATACTATCTGGTAACCCAAATTGTGATACAAACTTTCCAACAGTGCTTCGGGTCCTTGATTTGGACTCATTTGGGCTCGGATTGAGTTCAAGTTGGTGTCGTTGGGTTCGTATTTTTAGGACGCTCAGTTTGACAATAAGTTTGCTGAAATCTGAGTTCATAGATGATCCTGAATTTAATTTTTGAAGTTTCTAATTTGATTTTGCCTTGAGATTCGTGCCCGATCAAGATAATTTTTTAAGGATATATCAATAAAGATTATGTCATAATAATTTTTTATAAATATTATTGATATATTCTCAAAAACATTATCTTAATCGAGCACGAATCTCCAGGAATAAATTAAGTTAGATACTTCAAAATTTTAATTCGGGATCATCTGAACTCCGATTTCAGCAAACTTATTGTCGAACTGATTGTCACAGAAATACAAACCCAATGACACGAAATTTGACTCAATCTGAGCCCAAATGAAGCCAAATCAAAGACCTGAAGAGCTATTGGAAGATTCGAACCACAATTTGGGTTACCAAATGGTTTCCAAACATGAAATGCTTATAGTCGAATCAAGCATCTAGACGAGAAAAATCCAACGAGCTCGAGATCGCTGAATTCTGATATCATTAAGACCTTCGAATGTCTGGTGAACGGTCCATGATCAAGGGATTCAATATCGGTTGTCCATTCAAACCACTCTATAATTTTCTTTGATCCTCCTCCAATTTACAGGCCATGCCACTCCAGAAATCTATAAATAGCCCCTCATTTTTCTTGATAGGGGGAGGGACCAAAGCAAGGAGGAGGGCCCAAGAAAGAAGAAGAAGATAATAATAGGAGGGAAGAAACTCCTCATCGACCACTGCCGGAATTCCACCCGGCTTCCAAGTGACGCAGGAATTCCGGCCGACTTCTGCCTGACTTCTAAGTGACGCCGGAATTCTTCCCAAACTGCAAGTGACGCCGAGATTCTTCCCAAGTGATGCCAAAATTCCGCCCGACCTCCGAGTGACGTCGGAATTCCACCCGACCTCTAAGTAACGTCAGAGTTTCACTCGAACTCCAAGTAACACCGGAGTTCTCCCCGAATACCATCCGACGCCGGAGTTCTCCTCGACTACCAACTGACGTCGGACTTCTACCCAACGTCGAAACTTCACTCGTTGCCAAGTTTCTACTCGACGTCAGACTTCTGCCTGTTGTCAGACTTTTGCCGGACATCTATCCGATGCTGGATTTCTGACCGTTGATGGATTTCTACCTGACACCATCCTTTTTGTCGTCGCTAGACAATAGTCCTTCTAGCCTCCGTCGCTCGCTGACAACGGTCCTTCTGACTAATGTCGCCCGCCGACGATAGTCCTTCCGGCCTCCATCGCCCGCCAACAACAGTCCTTCCGACTTACGTTGCCCGCCCACTACAATCCTTCCGACCTCTGTCGCCCGCCGACTACAGTCATTCTGACTTACGTCGTCCACCGACTACAGTCTTTCAGACCAAACAAACACATCAATAATGATGCTATGTATTCTCACCATATAATGTACTCTCTAAGATGTACATCAAGCTAAGGCCTTCTCTCGAGGAAGGACCTCATTTGTAATCGACTACAATACTAGTGGATTCATTCATACTGAGCCAGGCCCCGTAGTTTTTACCCCTTTTCAGGGGTTTTTTACATAAAAATCTTAGTGTCTTGTAAATGTTACATACCCTCTCTCTTATCTGATTGCGTGCCGGATTTTCGTACAATGCTAAGACGTAAAACTTTATATTTCTCTACCGCCGCGAATACTCGTTGACGCAACAATTGTATATAATAATTTGAATTATATTAATCACAACATAAATCATACTATTTTTAAATATCATAATAATATGTTTCGCATTAGGATATTATCTACATTTTTTTATGATAATGTATTACACATCACACTAAGGTTTTATTTGGAATAGCTTTTTTTTTTTTTTTTTTTTTTTTTTATTTTTTTTTTTTTTTTTTTGCTTTCTAATTTAGTTTTTTTTTTTTACAAAAAATTCTAGTTCAAAAAATTTTTTATAAAAAAAAATTGCTTTTGAAAGAAACAAAAAAATTGCCTCAGATGAAGCCAAAAAGAGCACATTTGCAACAAATAAATTACTGAAATTGGTAATGATGAAAATTTAAAACTTTTTTCTAACGGTGGATGTTATTATATTATACAAAATCAAACTATCATATTTTCGTGTGGATGGACGATCAACCGGTAACTTCGAGGGTGAATCTAGTAGTGGTAAAATGATGGAATTATGGTTTTGTTTGGAATGATTTTTTTATTGTTTTTTAAAACAGAACTTTTTTTATTGCAGAATGTAAAGAAGGAATTTTTAGTGAGGAGAAGCCATAGTTTTTTAAAGAATTTTTTTTTTTTCTTTGGTCTGCCTTTTTCATTGCTTCGCACCTCAAAAAACAACAATCAAATCTAAGAATTCCTTATCATTTCATTTGAAAGAACAAAATGTTTTTTAAGTTTCATATCTTTATTTTCTTCTTTGTTTGAATTGTTCCGCATCTTTCTTCGAGTTTTTTTTTTTTTTTTTGTTACTAAAATTTTATTTTAAAAACCAATAAAAAAGTCGTTGCAAACGAAGCCTAAAAGTAGTTTTGCACCGATGGTTCGGTGATGTTGAACCACCAATTTACAGCTAGCTTCTCACTCAGACCTGGTCTAACATGTAATCCTCTTTTTGGAAAAAAAAAGAGGAGATAGATAAAAGACCCGATCCAACACAGAGTTTAATATTTTTTAGAATATTTTAGTCATTAAGATAAATTCTTATATATATCATTTATGCAAACTTCAAATCCAATACTAGTTGTCAAATCTGTCAACCAAAAGATCAAGGTGAGCTATGTACGGAGTTTAATATGTGAGCTCCAGTTTGAGCTAGAGCTCGAGCTCGAAGCTCGAAGCTCGATAAGCTCAACTTACAAGCTCGTTATCTTGTTGAGTTCGGGCATGCTCAGCCTACTTATACCTTTTGTAAAAATGGTGTCGATTCAAGCTTGATTTATCTGAATCTCAAGTAGATCTGGTTGAAATATGATTGGCTTAGATCCAATCAAATTACTTGATGGGTCAAAGTTTTTGATCTGAATCCAACTCAAATTGAATCTAATTGTTTATTTTGTTTATTATATGGATCATGTCTTTTTAAAATCAACATAAGTCATTTAGTATGAACTCAACCTGTTAAACTAAATCTGACATGTTTAACTCAAACTTGACCTATTAAGCCTGAATCTGAATAATAGTTGGATCAATTTTAGTCAATGTCAAATTTTTAGGCTAGTTTGAACCCAATAAAAATTTTAATCGGGTCAACATTTCAAACTCAAACTTGCTCCGAAATTTAATCAAGTCAATCAAAACACAAATTATAGTATGGGATTGATCAAATAACTATTTATTTTACATATTCTAATAAGTTAATAAATATAATTATCATATTAAATTGATTTATATAGTGTCATCTAATTTAGTTAACTAATATTTTCAACACTTTATCAAGATTTTTAAAATTGAATTTCTCTTATATTAAAGATCTATTTGGGACAACTTTTTGGCTGGATAATTTTTTCAACAACAAACACAAATTCTATTTAGCCACTGTTTTATGTGCTACAAATATACTTTCTACAACAGCTATAAGGTTTTGTTTGAGACAGCTTTTTTCCTACTGCTTTCTAGTTCAAAAATATTTTATTTTTGAACTAGAAAGCCGCTTTAAGAAGCAGTAAGAAAGTCATCTCAAACGAAGCCTAAAACAATTTCTCTACAACATCATTACAAAGCAATAAGAAAGTCATATCAAATAAAACCTAAATTTATATTTCAAGGCTTTAAAAGTTTCTCCCAAATAACAAAAAAAAAATTTGTTGGGCCTAATAATTAATTAATTAATGCCAAAGACTAGGGAAGGTATAGCATGTGCATATGCACTCTTTATGAGAAAGTAAGGTTGTCATACAGAAAAGAAGGTTCAGTTAATGTAGAATTTGGTCTTTTCATTTTAAGAAGTTGCGTATTGAGCAATAGATGGCCTTTATAAAAGAACTGAGGGATGGAAATCCAAAGGAGCAAAATTGCTTTCCCCCAAGGAACTCAACTACAAGTCTACAACCACAAGCAATTTGAAAGAAAGGTCAGCGAGAGAACTTAACATGAAATTCCTTTGAGGAACAAAAGATCTCTGTCCATCATATCGATCAGGAAGAAAAGCTCCTCTCTTTTTTTTTTCGAGGGGAGGACCGGATTTTTGAGCCAATAAGTCAATTTCACTCACATCACGTATGCAAACTTCAAATCTAAGGCCTCTTGATTAGTAGCAAAAATTTCAAACCAATAGATCATGATAAGTTGTTTATCAAGAACAAAAGTCTTATGACCTTATTTGGTTGAACAAGTTCCATTATGGAAATCGAATTTACTTTTGTCTCTTTGGAGACATTAGATAAAATTGGAACGAAACAACGAAGATCAGCATGACCACGGCGCAAGGATGACACGCATAAATAGTCTTGAGATGATGGTAAGCTAAATATCAAGACTAAATTTGAAAAGAAAATATTGCATTCAGAAAAAAAAATGTGAAAGTATTATGGGTGTCAATATTTGACACGACACGAAAATCTGACCCGGAAAATCCGGGTTAGACCCAACCCGATTTCAAAACAGGTGGGGTTCGGGTTCCAGAAATTGACCCGTTTGAAAAACGGGTCGGCTTCGGGTTGACCCGACGGGTTGCCGGGTCAACTCGCGAACCCGTTTAATTCAAAAAATTTAGGTTTAGGCCGCGCCTGCGCCCGCTCTGCCCGCGCAGAAAATAAATGTGAAAGTATAAAGGATTAAAAGCAAAAGTACAAGTAAAAAAGAAAAATAAAATTAGTAGTTAGAATTCTTTTATATTCGGCTATCTTGATCAAAGAGTTAAAGCTCATCCTCGCATTTTAAGTAAGCTCTTCTCTTTTACTTTTATAGATCTAACTTGTCCGTCAAATTCTTATACTCTATGTGCGAGGATTACTTCATTACGTTATCATCTTTTCTCAACAAGGGAAACTCATCTCTTTTTAAAAACTTTGTCTTTCAGGATATCAACAGCTTTTGTCACTAATTTATTCTCGACTTCTTCTTCTATTATAACTTATTCAATTCAGCAATATTAGTTTCAAAATTTTGTATGGTGGTTTATTGCTAAAATAGTTGTCTTAGGCTTTGTTTGGAATGGTTTTCTTACTGCTTTATAAAATTGTTTTTCAGTACAAAAATTTCTTGAAGGCAAAGAAAACGTAGTTGTCTAAAGCTATCCCAAATGAAGCCTTAATATTCACTTGTAATTATTCAACATAATATAATTGTGATACCAAATCGCCACATTCATTTTCATGACAGCATAAGCAAATTTGATAGCGGAGGCTTGACTTATTTTCATTTGATTAGTCAAAGAAAACATGGTAGAGCCAAGTTTGAAGGCAATTGATAAGGCTTTTCACCAAAAAAGAAAAATAAAATTAGTAGTTAGAATTCTTTTATATTCGGCTATCTTGATCAAAGAGTTAAAGCTCATCCTCGCAATTTAAGCAAGCTCTTCTCTTTTACTTTTATAGATCTAACTTGTCCGTCAAATTCTTATACTCTATGTGCGAGGATTACTTCATTACCTTATCATCTTTTCTCAACAAGGGGAACTCATCTCTTTTTAAAAACTTTATCTTGAGATTTTAAAGTCATCTTCATCTATTTGTTGAAAGTCAAAGCCCCTAACCAGCGGATCAATGTGAGCTGCGTGATACTTAGAGACTTTAAAGTCATCGAAGATAATTTCCTCGATAAGAGTTTATGAAGAAAAAATAATATATAAACTAAGTAGAAAGAAAGAAGTCCTAAAAAACTTAGAACCTGCCCATTGAAGTGAGTTTTCTACAACGAAATAATGAAAAACAGAAGGAAACGAGTCTTATAAGGTGAAAAATGAAACTTCAGATATTTGACTGAATAAATGGCTAAACATTTAAGCCAATTAATTTCATTCAAAAAAATTAGACATGCACATCCTTTTGCATATCAGGTAGTTCATTCTTTCATTAGGGAATAGAAGCAACTTTTGTTGAAATAAATCACTTCTTAGGCTTCGTTTGAGCGGCATTTTTATTGTTTTCTGAAGTAATTTTAGTGCAATTTTTTTTTTTTTTAACTAAGAAGTTTTGTACTATAAAGTTGTTTTAGAAAACAGTATGAAAGTCATCCCAAACGAAACCTTAGACTTTGTTTGGGACAGCTTTCTTACTGCTTCTTAAAGTTATTTTCTAGTAGAAAAATAAAAATATTTGTACCTAGCTAAAAGATGTTTTGATCACAAGCAATAAGAAAGACATCTCAAATAAAACCTTAGGCTTCATTTGGTTTGACTTTTTTACTACTTAATACAGCTTTTGAGTACAAAAAAATTAACTTTTATACTAAAAAGTTATTTTAAGAAGAAATAAGAAAGCAATCACAAACGAAGCCTTAGGACGACTTTTTTATTGCTTCTTAAAACAGAGTTTTAATAAAAAAAATTTATTTTTCTACTAAAACTCTTGTTAAAAAAGCAAAAAAAAAGTCGTCCCAAACTAAGCCTTAGTCAACTTCACAAAGCAAAATTAAACTTTACCTATTTTTATCTCATTCTTTGATTATTTAAGCCGACCATCTTCATGTGATTAGAAGAAAATAAAATATACGTATCTTTGAAAAGCCTTTGATTGTGGACATATGCTGAAGAAAGTGATGCTCTGTGTGATCTTCTTCCCACACATAAACAACAATATAGGATATGATGCGTGTAAAATAATTCCAAAGAAATTCATGTTGGGTAGTCCCTTATAAAGAGAGAAGCACAATCCTTTGGCAAAATCGACCAAGATAATAACATATCTTATTCTTTTGAAAGGTGTTAGGGAAAATTAGTATTAATATATTGTACAAACTATAATAATATAATTGTAGGGTTATATTATCTATAATTTTAGTTATCTCATGGGCACCTTTCCCTTCAATCAAATCCATTTCTTTTTGCTTTTCTTTATATTTTCTGTATGGTTTTCTGTCTCTCATCATGATTGTCCACCTCCGGCCACTCGTCAGTTGGAATGGCAGTAAATCACATGGTTAATCCTAGTTTTCTTGATCGTAAATCTTCATCTCGCTCTTTTCTTGAGGCCCTTTTTGAGGCTTCTTCTTTGGTGGTGTTTCCCCAGCTTAAATCCACTACTCGTTGTGGTTTATCTTCACTGTGGATTTCAGATGAGGAAGTTTTCGCTTTGGCGGCGCCGTTTGAGTTCTCCTTGATTGGTTCCTTCCCTGGCCACAGAATATCCATCGATGTCATTCGTAATTTTTTTTCAGCGTCAAGCTATTTGGAGTTGTATCTATAACTTTGTTAAATGCTAAGCATGTGCTGATTAAATTGAGCAAGAATTTAGACTATAATCATGTCTTTTCTCAACGCATTTATTTCGACAACAATTATTTTATGAAGCTATTCAAATGGTCCCCTTTTTATGTCAATGTTGAATCTCCTGTCATACCAATCTGGATTTTCTTCCCAAACTTGTGCCCCCATTTCTTCTCTCCTTGTATTCTTCATGGATTAGGGTCTTTGTTTGGAAGACCGTTAAAAACAGGCAATGCCACTATTATTGGTTCATGTTTATTTGTTGCTCGTGTTCTTGTTAAACTTGACATTATCAAACGCTATCCTTGGCATATTTGGCTTGGCCCCGATAAGTTTGGGTATGTCCAATTAATTGAAATGGAGGATTTTCTCTCTTTTTTTTTGTTCATTGTAAGTCCCTTGGTCATTCGAATTTGGAATGTTTTATTTTGTATCCTAATTGTATTGTGAATTCTGAGAATGCTACCAATGCTCTTAACACTACGGTTGATGATGAAATTCATGTTGATGATGTATTGCCTAATATTTAAACCCGTCCGATTCCTGCTACTTTTTGTCGACCGACAATTTGGGTATCAATTTAGTGGGTGGTGATGTTGATATGGGTGCAATTGATCATATTTCTTCTCATGTTTTGAATGTTGTTGATAATGTCATGCTTGAATTGGGTTTTGCTGGTGATGATATGGCGATTATGCTGGAACATGGAGAGGGGGTTTTGACTTCTGGTTTGGTTGGAGAGATAGTTGATGATTCTGATATTGTGACTATTGAGCCTCTTGTGGGTATTTTAGGAACTAAGAAGGATCCTAATATTATAGCTACTGATGTGTCTCTTGATAGGTTGGATGGAATGAATATAGGCTTTTGTGATGTTAACACGTGCGTCTTGGATAATTCTACCAGTGGTTTGGTTGTTGCTTTTGAGGAACCTTCCTTGACTTCTTCTGATCATGTGAGTGTTGTCGCCTCTTAATATGGTTTCGATGGAAAATGTTATTTTCATTGATGTTCCGATTGCTATTATATATTTCGAATGAGGAGTTGAAAACTCAATTTGCGATGAAATTGAAGGATTCCTGTGCAGATCAAAATGATTGGCTTGATGGGTCCTCATCACCTTACGTGGGTGATGGGGAAGACGTGGTTGGGACCGATGATGATTATCATGCAATGTTGAATGTTAGTCGAATTGTTGAGAAAGCCTTTTCCATTGGGGGTGGAAAACGTCGTAGACACAAATCTAAAAGGAAGTTCCATTGGGGGTGGAAAACGTCGTAGACACAAATCTAAAAGGAAGTAATCCAATTTCATGTTTTTAGGCTTTGGTTGGTTATGTTTCTTCAGCTATTACTTCTGTTTTTTGTTTCTAGTTCTGGGGCTTGGTTGGTTGTTGCGCCTTGCTTGTTTGGTGAGGTTGTTGCCGATTTGCTGCTTGGGAGTGTGGTTATTTTGTTCGTGCTGTTTCATTTCTGATGGTTGGTATTTTGGTCTGGTTGGGGTTTGATTTGAGTGGTTGCTTTGTTCGCTTGGTCTTGGGTGGTTCATTTTGGTGTTGTAGATTTGGAGGTTCTTTCTTTGGCATTGGTCCTCTCCTATTTGGTTGTGCTATGGGCTTGTTTCTGGATTTGTTGCTTTATTTGTCATGCAAGTTCATGCTTTGGTGTCTCTCTTTCTAGAGGCTGATCAAGAGGCTGAACTCTTCATGATGCATTCTTCAGTCATGTTGCTCTTGTGCTGACTGCCTGTGTTGTAGTTTTGCTTATTTTAGTTGTTCCTTTTCATTTGTTTTTATGTTGTAATAGGTAGAACCAATGGTTTTTAGGTTTTTTCTTTAAATGTTGTATTTTAGATAGCTAATGATTTTTTAAGGACATGTAATTATTCTTTTATTTAACACGTAAGCCCTTCTGTGGGTTTTATCAAAAAAATATGATGAATATTATTGTTTAGTTATATTATTTTAATAAAAAGAAAATATTTTTGCTCACATAAAAATACATTTAATCAGATTTAAAGAATTATAATAATAATATGAAAATAATGTTAAAAATTCTTAAATGATAGCTGGTTTAATCATCAATTAGCTAGATGC